TTTCATCCACAGGGTCATCTGACATAAAGCCATTAAGTATCTTTAAGTTTCAATGAGAGTAAGAACAGTTCCCAACCTCCTCTGTTAATAAGCAACGAGACTTTAGATTTCCATGAGATCATCCCATCTGGTAGTATGCAAGTGGATTATAGTGCTGGAAAAGAGCTTCATCATTGGTTCCTATCCTGGCATCAGAATAACCTGTGACTATTTCTATCAAGTTTGAAAATTGGGGAATTAGGTCTTCTAATGCTCAAGATCAGTAAAAATGGAAAGATCTTCCTCCAGGGTGGGCAAGAGAAAGAAGGTAAATGCTGCTTGAGAGAAGCATGTGTTGCTCTTGGTGGATCCCTGTGGGGGTATCTATGAAGTTATTGTGGTAGCTGCTTGCCTGGATGTACTGGAGTCATTTCTGTGATGCTGTTTGGAAGCAAATTAGCTACATTGTACTTTACACTTTGTAGCATCAAAGTAATGAAAATTATTCCTCCCTAGATAGCAGGCCCAAAAGGTCCTGTCTTCCATCTCTTCTGTCAAGACAGGAAAGCATGCCTGGATTTATCTTCAAAAGAGTTCTGCTTGTATGACTCAAGGACAATCTCAATAAGATATGGGCCAGGTCTTAGCTATATCTTTTCTACAAATGCTGCTCTTGGCAACCTATGCAGAGTCAGAGGATGCTAATATAGGTTTGATTTTCAGATCTTTAAATTTTGATTGGGAAAGATCTATGTCAGGTCCCCTCAAATCCTCATTCTCAGGCTCTGCCATTCTGTTGGGAGGGAGGCAGTGGTGGGATTCAAATATGTGAACAACCAGTTCTCTATATGGATGCTGCTTCCGGAAGTCCATTCTGAGCCTAGGCAAGAAAAAATTAGCTACCGGTTCTGCCAAAGTGGTGCGAACCAGCTGAATCCCACCACTGGAGGGGGCAGGTTTCACTTTGTTGGAAGGGAGGAAGTCTTGTGGGCTCTGGGGTGTATTTCTCTTACTTTGTTCTCTTCACCTTTGATGTATCTCTCTGGGTGTGAAAGGGGGGAAGAATGTGCCTGGGACCATTTGCCTTATCTCTACTCTACTATGAAGACATCAGGAAGAAACTGCAATACCTGAAAACCGTGTCTTATTGCTCCAGTTCTCATAACAGCTTCACACCTATGGATTGGCCAAAATCAAACTGGACAGTTGGGCACTGGGGAGGGGTTTTGAAAGGGTAGTTTTAATGTAATGTTTCACATGGGAATTATTCAGATCTTGCCTTGCCTTTCTGCTTTTACTGTCTCTCAATAAAAGTTCCTATTGAAACAATTCCAGTTTCAAGAGTTCTGCTTTCTTGAGAGTACTAGCTGAGGCAGAACCTTACAATTGGAAAGGAATTCAGATAGCAAGATAAATGGTACCAGTTGACTCAAGTTGTCATTATACATCCATTTGTCAAAATGGCCAAGATTTAAGAAGTAAAACTGAATTAGAATTTGACAAGATGAAATAAATATTCAGTATTCTAGTAACATATTTGGACCATAATATCCGAAGAAAGCATACATATTTTCCTGATGCTGGAAATGTGTTCTAGCCAATCTTGGCTGATCTCAAAAAGCTAAGCAAGGTTACACATGGTTATTACTCAGATGAAAGACCACAAGGAAATCCCAAGACTGCAGACTAGACTAAGAAGTAAAAAAAAAAAAAATCCTAGAAGGCAATGGCAAACCACTACTTTGTTGCCAAGAAAAATTCATGGATGTATCCAGGACATCACCTGGAGTCAAGCTGATTCACGGAGAATAATGTAAGTGAAATCTAGCTATAAATATAGTATGGAGAAGAACAATGAACAATGAACAACAAAGGAATCTGGAAATGATGTAAATATTTATGTTCACATATGTCATTGTAATAGTTTTTAACACTAAGAAATGCTTTCGTAGTTTTGATAAGATTGCAAGGGAAAGTAAAATTCACTGGAAGTTTTTAAAATATTACAGTAATATTTTTTCTGGCTTATCAACAAAGTCTTGCTTGGTCATTGCACAGGAAAGATATTTCTGAGCCCACAACAAACTGTCTGGTGGAGTTTCCTTCCTTCTTGGAACTCCACTGATAAATTCTTCCAGTGAAATTACTGCAAGTCACTCTGAGAATTCCAGTTAATAAAACAAAGCTTTAAACTAAGCAGTGCCCAACATGCAAAGTTACTAAAATAAAATTAATACAACCATTAAAATATATGCATGGCAGAAGTGAAGTTTAATGTAGCACTTCATTAGAAAAAATCCTAGTAAAAATTATGAACATTATATTTATGAATGTGTACTACAGAGCTTAAAGAACACTTGCCAATGCTTAATATTTATATATCATCTTACTTCAGAGACAACCTAAATATCGTATGGAAACCTGTGTTGAGGCTTGATTAAAGTGTTTGGTTAGGCCTGGTGAGACCAACCTTAAGTCACAGAAGCTCTTGGGGTGATTTGGGGCCAGTCAGACTTTTCTGACTTAGTCTTCTTCATAGGGTTGTTGTTGGGAAAAATTGGAGGAGGAAATGTTATGTATATCATTTTGAACACCTGGAGGAATATAAATCTAGTAAATTATCAGCTCCTAAAATTAGTTTCAGAAAAGACTTTATCATGAATTCCAGAAGAAAAATGGCAAAAACTGAAAAGACATTCATGCCCTTGATGTGTTTTTCATCCACTAAAAGGTATTTTTCTTTTCTTCCTAAAAGCAGGGTATTGGAGTAGATTTCTCAAGCAAAACTAAGAAAGGACACAAAAAGAAAACAGATAAAGATTGGGATGTGCAGTAGAGGAATACAATAATAGGAAATCAAACTGAGTTTGCAGGCTGTGTAGACTGTTCTGTTCAAAGTGTACATGATTTGCAGAAGCAGTGCTTGAAGAGGAAATTCAAGTAAAACAAGAAGGCACATGTGCCCTGACATCCATGCTCCTACACTGATGCATGTACAAAGAGACAGGGCCACCATTTTTATTTGAACCCCCGATGGACAGTGGAAACATACAATTGGCAGGGACCCCCGATGGACATGGAAACATACAATTGGCAGGGACCTTAGAGGACATCCACTCTAAACCCTACTCAGAAGGGAAGAGCTTCATAGCATGGTTTGTGTGGTGAAATTTATTTTTTATATATTTACAGTATATTCCACCTTTGTTATTTTTATAAATAACTGAAGGCAGTAAACATACACAGTATTCCTTCCTTCTTCTATTTTCCTTACAACAACTCTATGAGTTGAGTTGGATGGAGAGTGACTGGCCAAAAGTCACCCAGCCGGCTTTCATGTCTAAAGTGAGACTAGAACTCACAGTCTCCTGGTTTCTAACCTGAGACCAAACTGGCTTCTTAATCTCTAGACCAAACTGGCTGTGATAATGTCTGAACAAGACTTCTACATTGATTGGCTCATTCTACCATGTTTCCCTGGGTCTTTTTTTTCCCTCCCAAAGAGACACCAGGTCTTATTTTCAGGGTAGGCCTTACCTTACCTCCGGCACCAACAGCCATACCCAGTTGGTCCACTTCTTCTGGGGCTGAGTTCTGCAGCTGCATTCAGGCCTGCATTTTGCAGTCAGGCCTTTCCAGAAGGCCTAAGCGGCCGAGTACCAAGTTATGGATTTAATCCATAGTTTGGTCCTCGGCTGCTGAGATCTTGCAGAGCCGAGCTACGGATTGAATCCATAACTCGGTTCTTGGCTGCACAGGCCTTCCGGAAAGCCCTGTGAGTGAGATATGCTGGCCTGGCTGCAGAAGAGACCTCAGAAGAAGTGGGCTGGCAAGGAGAGGCTGGCAAGGTAAGTGGATGCGGGGCAGGTGGGGCAGCTCCACACCCCCCCACCCCTGCCCTAGCTTGATTTTTAGGTTTGTGCCTCACCCCAAAACTAGGGCTTATTTTGGGGGTAGTGTTATATTAGGCCCACCCCAAAAAATCAAGATAAGGCTTATTTTTGGTGTAGGCCTTACTTTCGGGGAAACATGGTAGAAGCATCTCTTGCTAGGAAGTTATATCTCCTATTCTGTATGTGTCCCCCCCCCGCATGCCCCCTCCCTCCTAGCCTTTGATGGCAGGATGATAGCAAGGCATCAAGTTGAAGATGGCAGACCTGACAATAAAATTCTCCAGTGAATGGCCTGAAAATCCTTACAAATTTCATTTCAAATGTGATCAGTGACAGGTTTTGCAATATTATTTGCTACAGTTATTAAACTTAATGCATTTGTGGGGAGACAAGGAGAATTATATCTTTTATTCAAATTATAAAAAAAATATTCTTCTAGTGTTGAGCCATGGCTAGCCTTAGAACAGGAAGTCCTTGATCCTGCAAATGTGGAGGCAATAGAGGCTTGGAGTCACAAGGCAATCACGATGCAGGCAAAGCCAAGGTAAGGGACTAGGATCAGTGACAGACAAGTTCAGGCATACACACAGTTACTGCTACGGTATTATACTCAAGGAATATGGGTCAGACCCTATCTCTCAAACCTAACCTATCTTACAGGCGTTTATGAAGTTAAAATTAAGTGCAGGAAGGCTATTTTTACTGCAGTGAGTTCCTAGAAAAAAGGATGAATGGATGGATGGATGGATGGACTAAATAAAAAGGAATTTTTTCACCTCCATAATTAAACAAAAAAATGTTGAAGAATAAATCCTTGAAATGAATCCAGTTCCAAGAATAGCTTCATCAACAAAGGAATCGGAGCACATCATTTTTTAAAATGAGGATTAATTAAAACAAATATTTGTGTCCAGGAATTGCAATCAAACATTCATGAGGACAAATGCTTTCAAATGAAAAAGGCAGGGAGGTGGTCTCAGTGCTTTAACATCATGAATATTCCAAGGAGATTTTTTTTTTCCTACCTAGGGAAATTCTCATTTTCTTCTGGTAATATCCTGTTGGATGTGTCATGGGATTTCCAAAGCGGCTGGAGTCTTCTATAAAAGGCAGTGAGCTGAGCAATAGGCCAGCAATCAACAAGGGAAAGCTCTAGAGTGTAAATTTAAAGTTTGAGTTTGCAGAAGACAACAAAACAGCTACCCTGCTGCTCTAACATTCCACAGTTGCTATTGGTAAGTTAAAAAAAAAATCTTTGAGTGCTTTTTTTTAAATTTTTCAAAGGATGCCAGAGGGAAAGTTTAATAGAAAAAGGACATATGAGTAATGACAGCATTGATTTCATCTTAAAACTACAATTTGATAAATTTCTTTTAGAAAATACATTTATAATGCAGGATCAAAGAATAAAAGTATTATTTATATTATTAAATATATATTATTTTTCACATTAATCTGCCCTTTAAAATTAAGTTCAGTTCAACAGAGAACTAATGCGAATCTGAATTTCCTTAAAAATGTACAAGTCTAACGTGCAGTTTGTAAGTTCATACTTTATATTGTTAGGCATCTCCAGAAAGTAATTTTCTCCTAATGGTTGGAATTGCAATTCTCAGAATTCCCAGCCAGCATGCCTAATTGCCATTCAGTATAACCAAATGCCAATAGTTGGGAAATGTCACTTCAATGTGTTTGGAAGGCAGATGGGGGGGGGGGGAAATAAACTATTTTAACTCTATACTTAAAAAAATATGCATGCAGAATATGTTTCCTCCAGTTCAACATTTTTCTAGCTCCAGTTTGTATTTACAGCATTCAAATGTTTCAAATAGATTCAGTCTAGCTCTCTTGAAAATGATCCTGTAATCTCACTGAGCAATCTGTTGCTGATAACTAGGTGAGGAAAATGAGAGGGAAAAAGAGTTTTGTATGTCAAAAGGCTGATGAGGTTTAACTGCTACTTTTGTTTGGATTTCACGTTTAATACCGTATATAACAGCATGTGAATTGTATGATTTTATTTATATAGGCACACACACTTGAGAAAACCCATGCTTCTTTTATCAATTTACAACAATCTACTATTTTTTTTTATCCAGACACTGCAGCACTACCAACAAGAATTAAGAGAGGATTTTAAGATTGTTTCTGCTGTGATGAATACCTTTTACATTTTCTCCATTATTTGCTATGGTAAGTGAGTGCTTCAAACCTTAGGAGCCTTCCTGGAAACAACATTTCTAACTGTGGGTTTCTTTTAACTGAACAGGAATCTTATTTTATACTTTTTAAAAATTACACTAATAATACAAACTAGAAAAAATATTTTGGCTAAAAACAGACAGCAAACTAATGTCGAAAATACAGGATATTTTGTGTATTTTATGTTTGTATGAGGGTGAATGGTATCAAAAATCTACCAAGTTCTGCTTAATTATGTTCTCTCATAGTAGTTTCTAAACTGTCTGAAGGAGACAGTTATCATCAGATTCATTGTTCTCTCTTTTTTATTATTCTGAAAACTCAAGACTATCGTTCCTGTCTGTTTCCTCTTTCCATCTTTTCTAGATCATTTGTTATATTTCATCTACTTTCTTTTTATTCTATTTTTTTAATCAAGTCTTTTGTTTCCACTAAAAAAACTTTAGGTTCCATTCCATATTAGAAGCCCATTCTAGGCATATGCTAGTTTTGTGCTCTCTTCCTTTTCCATCCAATTTATAGGAAGGCATAGTTATCTCTCATCTGTTTTTTAAACCAAAACCATTCCTCTTCCCATAGCTATCCTCTCTACCTTTATTTCTGTTTTCTTTTAGCATGAATTATATTTCTGGTCTCTAGGGCTTATGTTTAGCTCAGATAGCTAAATTCTAATACAGCAATTTGTTGTTATCTCTTGTTTTAGGACTTTTATTATTTAAGGATAGCAATGGCTGGACATACCATGCATCAGAGGCAAACATGAATTATGCTGAAGCAGAGAAATGGTGTAAAACCCATTTTACAAATCTGGTTGCTATTCAGAATAAAGAGGAAATTCATTACTTAAATGCAACATTTCCCAGTAATTCAAATTATTACTGGATTGGTATCCGAAAAATTGAGAATGAATGGAGATGGGTTGGAACAAACAAGCAACTGACGGAAGAAGCTAAAAACTGGGCTGAAGGTGAACCAAACAACGGAAAAAAGAATGAGGACTGTGTTGAGATCTATATAAAACGAACAAAAGATTCAGGAAAGTGGAATGATGAACCATGTTATAAAACTAAAAGAGCTTTGTGCTATAATGGTATGGATTGATATCACTTTGATTACTGTTTATACTGTTTTCAGTAGGAAAACTACATATTTATTTTAGGCCTGTTGTAAATATTGAAAAATAAGGGGTTAGATTCAGATTGAATCATTCTTGATATAAATCAATCATAAATCTCAATGGAACTTCTGTAAGAATATATTTAGAGTAATTTCATTGTATGGATTCTGCTTCTAATATTCCAAAGAGTTATAGTAATATTTTTTAAAATGTCAGATGTAATAATTATTGATGGCTATAATTGGAAGTCCAATCAAATTAACATTGGATGTATGAAGTGCAAAGATATGGGGTTAATATGGGGAAAGCATGAAAGTAATTGTAGAAACAGTTTTGCATGAAAGCAAGAAATCGGAAAAATCTCTGTAATTTATGTAAATGACTCTGTCCTATTTTTTTTGTTTTTTCATTCTGGAAAATGTTTCCACTGAAATTTATACAACACAGCAGACAGTTTTTAAAAAGAAAAAAGAGCACCAAAAGGACAAAAAGCCAAAAGAAAAAATGAATCTTCAAGATAGAAACATATTTTTTTTCTCTTTTCTTCTTAAAGGGAATACCTTATTCTACTATCATGTTATAATAGCCACAATATCACTACTGTAACATTTTCACAATATAATCTGCTTAATTTTCTTGCAGCCTCTTGTACTCCAAATTCCTGCAGTGGTTGTGGGGACTGTATAGAGACAATTAACAATTACATCTGCCACTGTAACAAAGGTTTCTATGGACGTGACTGTGAACATGGTATGATTAATTAATCATTTAGTTAATTCAAACTTATTGTGATTTCCAATTCTGTTCATTTGTTCCACTTTGGTAGAAATGCTTTATCCAAACTCTTCTGTTCTCTTGTAGTAATTACTTGCGATCAACTGGAAGACCCAGATCAAGGTATCTTTACATGCAAACATCCAATACAGAATTTTGGCTTTAACTCTTCTTGTGATGTTCAGTGCAAGGAAGGTTACAAACCGACTGAGATGGAATCAATAACATGTACCAATTCTGGAAAATGGTCTGCACCATCTCCATCCTGTAAAGGTATGCATATTTGACTAGCTGAAACCAAATGTCTAAGTCTGTGTTGTTGAATTAGAAACATTTTATTCAGTTGTCAAAAAAAAATTGTGCTACCTTCAGTTGAAATCATGAGTGTGTCTCAAGACACTCTGAATCATCCTCTAAGTCACCAAATGTGGATTTTATTTTGCCAATACACTGAAGTTTTAAAATTGCTTCAGTTTAGCAAAAATAAAACTTTGGGGAAAGTAAGTTAGAGAACAGACTAAGACTAAGCATTTTCATTGTTGAGACAGTCTGCTGGAAAACAAAGAATAGGAAAGGAAAGAGAATTGAGTATTTTTGGAAAAGGCATCATTGATTAACTGAAGAAAAGCAAGCATACAAAAGCATTCTATGCTGAAAATTTGTTATTTAGTTAGTTATTTCAGTTAGTTAGTTATTTCTGTTAGTCAGGTTGGAAAGATTATCACATTAAATTACCAGAGGAATCTACTAATATAAATTACATTCTGTTCTACATTCCATTGTCTGTCACTTATTACAACTACAATTGACTCTAAAATTTATGTTGCTGAGAAAGACTGATGTTAAGTGACTTTTGCCTCATTTCACAATCTTTGTTGCCACAATTGTTAAGTGAATCACTGCAGTTATTAAGTTAGTAAAACAGCTGTTAAATGAATATGGCTTCCCCATTGACTTTGTTCATAAGAAGGTGGCAAAAGATGACCACATGATCCCAGGACATTGCAACCATCATAAATACATGCCATTTGCCAGGCATCCAAATTTTGATCACGTGACCATGGGGATGCTGCAAAGATCATAACTGTGAAAAATAGTCATCATCATTTTTTTCAGTGCTATTGTAACTTTAAACAGTCACCAAACAAATGGTTGTAAATTGAAGACTAACTGTGTAAACATTGTTATGGCAACAAAAGATAAATATTCTGATGAAGAATTCACAGCTTTAGTTTGTCTTCAGCCAATAGGCATCTTGTTGACTAAGGAAGATGCCTAATTTAATGGAATACAATTCTGTCTTTAGTTGTGGAATGTTATGCACCACAGAAGCCTATGCATGGTTTATTCAACTGCTCCAACCCTTCTGGAAATTATGCCTGGAATTCATCTTGCAATTTTTCTTGCGAAGAAGGTTTTGTTTTGAAAGGCCCCGATATGCTCCAGTGTGGAGCATCAGGCAAATGGGATGGACAGGAGCCTACATGTGAAGGTGAAGGTTTTATCTTATTGCCTTGCTTGCACTCACAAAGAGTTGCTGTTTTTCTATGTTCTGTTCTTTGACCATATATGGGATGATTTACAGTATGATCTGCCTCTATTTCAGTGGTGAAATGTCAAGCAGTGCCTCAGTCAGAAGGAAGCCTTATGAATTGTTCCCATCATGATACAGAACTGAAGTATAAGTCAACCTGTGATTTTGCTTGTGCAAAGGGTTACACTTTAAGAGGATCACCCCAGATTCAGTGCTCATCAGATGGGCACTGGAGTCAGCCAATTCCTGTTTGTGAAGGTAAGAGACAGAGATCAGACTATCTAGTAATATATTTTGGTTACCGGTGCTACATGCATGCCAGGATTCATTTTTCATACTTATCATAGTGACAGGGATTTTACTAGAATTTTGTTAAATAAGCATCTTTGTGATGTGTAAATATTTTATTTGTAATTTCTAATACTTTGAGGCAGGATTACAACAAAGTCAATAAACCTCCTTGCCCACTTATACAATATTAACTTCCAGACTCATCATTTTTATATATAATTACAATATATGAATATATGTATACCATATGAAAATATAACAGGCCATATTTTTTCACTCTAAGTGATAATTTAAATTCTGTCATTTACAGCTGTGCATTGCAGTGAACTACAACCTCCAGTTAATGGCTCCATGAGCTGCTCTGGTCCTTCTGGAAACTCTGCCGGGAATTCAACCTGCAAGTTTGCTTGTGAAGAAGGATTTAAACTTAATGGATCCAGTGAACTCCAATGTGATGTTTCTGGACACTGGGATGCTTTAGAGCCAGAATGTGAAGGTACCTTCTTTTCTTAGTTCCTAGTATTGTTTTCCTACGGGATATATTTTTTAATGTAGTGAATTGGCCCATTATCATCAAACTAAATTGTTGTGTAAGTCTCCTCCACAAGATGGCTGCTGATCTCTTACTCATGATCATGTTTGCTGCCAGACCTGGTTCTTTGGCAGTCTTGCCCCCTGGATTTGAAAGGGAGTATTTAGGAATGACCCAAGATGACTTTTGGATGGCTGTGGATCTGCCCAGGAAGGGGAATCTTGAAGATTGCATCTCCTTGTGGGAGCAGCTGAAAAATCAATGGGCATTTATACCTCTTCCTACCAGAAGAAATCGTAAACATGCCTGTGATTTTTAAGTTTACTTTTTGAACTTTTGTTTTTGTTATTTAAAGACTAATTGGTTGGCTGAATGCTGATATATATCAACCCCAGCTGGATTTTTTTCTGTTTTCTGTTTTGCTTGGTTTCTTTGAATTATTGGACTGCTTTTATCCATTTTTGCTTTCCATATGGAAACACAGCACATGACTTTTGATTTGTATTTAATTAACCTGCAAAAACTTTTGGATCAATATAGTCAGAAAATATCTTCTCTGTCTTCTTTGCTTCCTCCCTGCTTTGAGCAACATATTGGATTACAGAGAGAAGGAGGAAGCTGACACCCAAGGGGGAATACAGAGTCTGACTAGCAACATGCAGTCTTTAACTGATCTTTTTTCTAAAACATTGGTTGAACTTATAAAGTCTGTGCAAAACATTGTAAAAAAAAAACCCCAGACATTATATACTTTAAACCTAGAAAAAGAGCTTGTTTTCAAAGTAGCAGGTTCATTGGGAAGAAATATAGACACAGAAATAACACAGATGGTACAGAACATTGAGAAGAAATGTGATTTCCCAGCTGTATACAGGCCAGGAAGAAATATAGACTCAGAATAGAGCCAACTCCATACAGCTTACAGAAGTGTAACACTGTGCTTTTATATAATAGCAGAGAACAGTGTTAATGGGTTTTGAAAGAAGAAAGAGAGTGGGAAATGGAGTTAATACAACTGATTGAGAAATGATATTATCTGGGTTTCTTGGGCAAGATAGATTGGCTTTAGAGATTGGATTTATGGTATTCAATCAATCGGTAGTTGAAAAGAGATGGTATAAAGAAACAAATATGCATATTTGAACCAGGACAAATTAGGGTTAATATTTGGGATGATTTGGGATTGAAACCATGGTAAATTTTCTACAAGTTGATTATAATAATAGTTTGCTAACAGAGGGTTTTGGAATTTCAATCTTGTCTTCTCTTATTATTGTTTACAATTTTTATTACTTTTATACTTTTATATATTTGTTATTATTGTCTTTTCTGTTAACTATTTTGTTATTAATATAGTTTATAGATGACAGGATAACAACGTGTAAGTAGATTTAGTAGTTTAACAGTTTAAAATTCTTTGGGCATGTTTCACAGGGTGGGAAACTAACATTGCTGTATTATATTAATCAGCATTCAGTTAGGGAGGAAGTTATGTCTATAGTCTTCTTTTTTTCTTTTTCTTTTTCTTTTTTTATATTTTTTAATTCTCTCGTCCTGTTTTGAATATTTTGGTGTTTTGTATTTTAACTTTCTTTGAATAAACTAAAATTTTTCATACAAAAAAAGTAAATTGTTGCATGGGTGTGTTTAATTCCAGCAGTAAAATGTGTAGCAGTGCAGCCTCCTGAAATGGGAATAGCCAAACATTCTTCAGATGACACAAATCCAATTTTTAAATCAGTCTATGAATTTACTTGCCTGGAGGGTTACATGTTGAAAGGATCATCCCGCATTCATTGTTCATCAAATGGTGAATGGTCTGGTCCAGTTCCTAAATGTGAAGGTAAACTTTAAAAGCATTGAGAAATTGCCATTTGTCGCCTCCATACATTTGCTGAAATTAGGAAATACATATCAAACTATGCAATATCAAGCAGCATTGTATAATTTGTTTGATTCAGGATGAGTCTATAAAACAATGAATGCATATGAAAAATGTTTATAAAGAATCAGAATCTTTGAATTTTGTATCCATTTTAAAGAAAGAAAGAAAGTGCAAATAAATTATAGAAAATATTTGAAGAGTTATATTTTCAGCATGGAGAAAAGGATTGTACAGTTTAAACTAGTCTAGTCCGTTTGACTCCACTGAAAGAATATCCCTTAGATTATTCTGAATTTCAATGCACTGTCAAAAAAGGACAGTGAATTTTATTGGGAATGTATCCCCAAATCTAAAACAACAATGGAAATCTTGTTGAAATATAATTTACATGGGCTGGAATAAACACAAATGAATTATTTGTTATAGAGAAAAAATCATGGAGATTAGTACTAGACTTTGAAAGAGAAAATAAACAAATAATTGGGAGAAGAGATCAAGAGTTTAAATGGAACCTCAGTACTATGATAAGAAATTCACAGCTTTAGTTTGTCTTCAGCCAATAGGCATCTTGTTGACTAAGGAAGATGCCTAATCTAATGGAATACAATTCTGTCTTTAGTTGTGGAATGTTATGCACCACAGAAGCCTATGCATGGTTTATTCAACTGCTCCAACCCTTCTGGAAATTATGCCTGGAATTCATCTTGCAATTTTTCTTGCGAAGAAGGTTTTGTTTTGAAAGGCCCCAATATGTTCCAGTGTGGAGCATCAGGCAAATGGGATGGACAGGAGCCTACATGTGAAGGTGAAGGTTTTATCTTATTGCCTTGCTTGCACTCACAAAGAGTTGCTGTTTTTCTATGTTCTGTTCTTTGACTATATATGGGATGATTTACAGCGTGATCTGCCTCTATTTCAGTGGTGAAATGTCAAGCAGTGCCTCAGTCAGAAGGAAGCCTTATGAATTGTTCCCATCATGATACAGAACTGAAGTATAAGTCAACCTGTGATTTTGCTTGTGCAAAGGGTTACACTTTAAGAGGATCACCCCAGATTCAGTGCTCATCAGATGGGCATTGGAGTCAGCCAATTCCTGTTTGTGAAGGTAAGAGACAGAGATCAGACTATCCAGAAATATATTTTGGTTACCGGTGCTACATGCATGCTAGAATTCATTTTTCATACTTATCGTAGTGACAGGGATTTTACTAGAATTTTGTTAAATAAGCATCTTTGTGATGTGTAAATATTTTATTTGTAATTTCTAATACTTTGAGGCAGGACTACATCAAATTCATAGACTCATAGGAATAGTTGGGGAAAAATTCAGGAGTTTAAATGCATGAATTTGGGGGTTAAGCATCTGAAACTTCTAAGGCAGCCATTTTGCTTTGTAAATCCTCACCAAACTGTAAATAGCAAGTCAAAGCCCCAGTTTTTCATAACAGTTACTTTTGTCTGGCTTCCAAGAACACAACAGGTTTGCTGATGGACCACCATTTTTGCACTTACACTCCAAGGAAAATACATGAATTTTGAAAAATCAACCTCATACAATAAATAGGAGGTAATACTAGAATAATATATAGTATTTTTTTATCCACTCAATCATGTCCAATTCTCAGACAATTCCTGTATAAGTTCCTGTAATTTTCTGGGCAAGGTTTTTCAGAAGTTGGTTGCCATTACTGTCTTGAACAATAGATTCAAAGCCAATAGAACAGATTTTTATAGTCTTCTAATTTATTCTAATTTTCCAATTTTAGCTTTTCCAGCACTTGGGAAATTCTTAGCAATTGGTATACCAGTCACTGGGCTTTCGATCCTATCAGTGATATTGTTCATTATCTGGGTCCAAAAGAATCTTCAAAAAAAAAGTAAGACATTTTTACAATCTGCTGTTTTAAAGTAATACCCAATTGTTTATATACAGAAACTGCAATACTATGTAGAAATAGCCAAATTGCAAGGTAAATCTCTAGCCTAATCTCTCTCACGAACTTGTAGGAAGCAGGACTATTAGTTATATTCATCATCTTGAGCATTTGTGTGTGTGTGTGGATAAAAGTGAGATAAAATTTTTGTCTGGATGCACATTACCAATAGCAAAAAAAATATGTATTAAAATGTCTGTTTTAAACAGATTCAAGTAATATAAATTGTTACAGTGGACATGAAAGAAAAATTGAACTTTTTTCACTCTTGCTGCAATCCTCTGAAGTTGATATGTGCATTCAGACAAAATTTCTACTGGGATCAATGGGAGATTTCTTCAAATTGTACCAAGCATTGGAAGGTTTGAATTTCACATTCATGACTGCTGCAGTCCCAGTAATTTCTCCTGGGCTGATATTATCTGTTTTTTTAAAAGAAATCTCTATATTAAATATAAATTAAATTAGTAATTGAAGTACATTTAACTCTATGAATAAGTGTTATGGGAGTGGATTTTCACTTTGATAACAGATGAGAGCAAGATTGACTTAAAAAGCAACTTATGAGAATGCTTTTGATACATATTCTTATACATACAGAATTATAGAATGATTTATATTCTTTATATGTATATAAAATGATTCTTTACAAAATGAAGAGGATAATCCAGATGTTTATATTAGCAATTGCTAAAAAATGGGTAAAAAAGTAAAAAAATCTTACTTACCTTACTATTTTTTTTCTTTTTCTTTCCTTCTGTTTCTTCATTGCCTTCTCTCTTGCAGGAAAATCATTCACTCTTACAAGGTATGATCTTTTCCCAGATTCTTGAAGAATCCAATGCAATTTTTGGCTGTTAGTATATTGTTTTGGGACACAGTAACTTACATTATTTTTCCTGTGTTTTTTAGCAGTTTTTCGAGCCTTGATTCAGAAGGTAGTTTCCAAGCTCAAATCATTTAATCAAGTAAGTTGTGAAGAAAGCTATTGTTTATTGCTTTTAATAGTACATAGAATGGTGGGTGGGTGAGTGGGTGAGTGGGTGGGTGGAGGCCAAGAGCACAGTTCAGTATTAGAGTGCTACTCCATCATGTGAAAATAGCCAAGGCACATGCTAACATTTCTAATAAGTAATAGTATTAGGTTATAGGACTGGGAGAAAGGGAACTTTCCCTGAAGCCTGGAGAAATATTGGTTGCCAAACTATGTATGTGTTTTATGTTAAATCATGTTTTGATAAAAAGCTGAACATCTTTTTTTATAATGCTTGAAGTTTTTACTTCATGGCTGGATATTGAGTTATGAAAAAATTATATATTTTTTCCCATTAAGTGACAAAGTTGACTAAGAAAATACTATAGTATTTAAGACACATTTCAGATTTAAGTCTTGAACCTTTATAAAAATGATTTGCGGCTTCTTTCAATGTTCCATGGGATAAATTTTTCCATCTTCACCCAGAGGACTATATTAAACTGGGATACAATTGGCTGATCTATTCCATATATGATGCTTTTTTAAATGGATTTATAAAATTTTAGATTCCATTTAATCTAAATTTCTGATAATCTAATAAAACTTTTCCAACAGTGCAGGTAGTCCTTTCTTAGTGAGCACAATTGGGACAGCAACAACTTTGTTGCTAAGTGATGTGATCACTAAGGAAAACATCAAGGGAACATGACAGATTTACTAACGTTACTTCCCATTTGGTTGTTAAGTGAGTCACCACAAGTCATTAAGGAGACATCACATAACTACAACCTCTGATTTTACTGCCAAATTTTCTTTGTATATTATTACAGTGCATTCAACTTTTCCAAACTTTCTTTATAGTATTTTCATTGTTGCTTTGTGTTTCTTTTGATGTTTGGATTTTTAGGGGAAGTGTATACATTAAGATTACACAAAAGTGAGGTGTGAAGGCAAAAAGCTTAGGGATCTCTGCTCTGGAGGAAAAGATAAACAACAGCTAATTTATTAATCATTCCAATAATCTGCCTAATATTACCGAGTTTTTATGCAGATTTCAAACTGAGCTAAAATATTAAAAACAGTGGAAGCGATAAAATAAGAAAATACTTTAATAAATAGTGCAGGAAAATATACAATAAAAATATTACCAGAATCCCTGGTAATTTTCTGTTAAAATAACATCATAATAACTTGTGGCACAAATTCATATGAGCTTAGTCATACAGAAGGGTTTTTTTTCCAGAAAGAAACACCCAGAAATAGATGCTTTAAATATTGACATTGGAAATTGAGGTCAAAAATAGTCTGCAGCTAAGAATAATTTCACATTATTAAGTCAAATAATATTGTGTCATACTAGCCACAGAAATATTTGGATTAAAAAACATACAAAGTTTCTCCTGAGTTCAACTTTTATAAACACTAAATAAAATATTGTTATAGCCATAGGATTTTGATCTATTCTCACCAATATTTGGAATACCTAAGGAAACATCCAACCTTATTACATTTTATTATTTTCAGCCAGTAAATCTGGACGTCTCTGAAGTGATATCCAGCCACACCAGGGAGAAGCCTGTCCAACAGGGATAAGGGAAGGTTCCTTGAGGACAGTGACTTGAGAAGAAGCAAACTGTCCCACCACAACAATCCTGTTCCAATGCTGGCAAAATATCAAGGAAGCATAGAAGACATCCAAGGGGCATGGGATATGTTCCAGCCTTGTGCTCAGTCCAACTGAGGGTATATTCTGTCCTTAGATATTTTAGGCTCTGATAGCTGCCTTCCATTTCTGTAAATCTAGAACAAAGATGATGGCAATTTATTCTCTTTTATAAATCATACTTTTCGCGTATTGAAAACGGTTAAAGGTGTAGGAGAAAGTGGCAAGAAGGTGACAAGCATCAGGGAGAAAGCAGAACTACTCAAGTCAATGGAACTGCATCTACATGGAGGGAAGTGTGTAGTGGGGTGCCACAGGGCTCTTTTCTGGGCCCAGTGCTCTTCAACATCTTCATCAATCATTTGGATGAGGGATAGATGGGGAACTCATCAAATTTGCAGATGACACTAAGCTGGCAGGATTAGCCAACACTCCAGAAGATAGGCTTAAGATACAGAAGGATCTTGACAGACTTGAACATTGGGCGTTATCTACCAAAATGAAATTCAATGGTAAAAAAAGTATGGTTCTACATTTAGGCAAGAAAAACCAAATGTACAGGTATAGTATAGGTGGTACCTTGCTCAATAGTAGCAACTGTGAGAGGGATTTTGGAGTCCTAGTGGACAATCACTTAAATATGAGCCAGCAGTGTGCTGCAGCTGCCAAAAAGGCTAACACAGTACTAGGCTGCATTAACAGAGGGATAGAATCAAGATCACGTGAAGTGTTAATACCACTTTACAGGCCACACTTAGAATACTGCATCCAGTTTTGGTCACCACGATGTAAAAAAGATGTTGAGACTCTAGAAAGAGTACAGAGAAGAGCAGCAAAGATGATCAGGGTACTGGAGGCTAAAACATATAAGGAACAGTTGCTGGAATTGGGTATGTCTAGTCTAATGAAGAGAAAGAAGAGGGGTAGCATGATAGCAGTGTTCCAATATCTCAGGGGCTGCCACAAAGAAGAGAGAGTCAAGCTATTCTACAAAGTACCTGAAGGCAGGACAAGAAGCAATGGATGGAAACTAACAAAAGAGAAAAGCAACCTAGAACTAAGAGAAATTTTCTGACAGTTAGAACAATTAATCAGTGGAACAACCTGCCTCCAGAAGCTGTGAATGCTCCAACACTGGGAGTTTTTAAGAAGAGACTGAACAGCCATTTGTCTGAAATGGTATAGGATTTCCTGCCTCAGCTGGGGGTTGGACTAGATGACCTCCAAGGTCCCTTCCAACTTGATGATGATGATAATGATGATGATGATGATTCATTAGATGTGAAACTCAGTCAACTGAACATTCAAATTGACTGGCGCTGATGGTTGACACGGGTTGCTGCCAGCATCCTAGGTATCAATCAGGTACCTCCTTAAAATATAAGATGTTCCGAGTAACGCAGTTTTTTGTAGCATTGCTGGAGTTATTTCAGGAAGCTGCAGTTTCTTGAAATATTTTGCAAAGTTTTTGGACATAGTTCCCAGTGCCCCAATGACAATGGGTATCACTGTTACACGTTTCATCCATAATCGCGCAGTTTTGATGATCAGGTTGCAATATTTTGTAATTTTTTCCAGTTCTTTTTCTTTGACTCTGGCATCTCCTGGTACAGCGATATCAATCAGCTGTACACTTCGGTTCTCTACAACTGCGATATCTGGCATGTTGTGTTCCAAATGATGATCTGTCTGTATTCGAAAGTCCCACAAGATCTTCACCCTCTCATTCTCAACAACTTTTTCTACCTTATGTTGTTGTCGTTATTATTAATGTTTTCATGTAGAATTGTACATTTTGTCTTTTGTGGCCTTGTTTCAATATTTAACTAGTCTGGTACATTTATCTACAATACCTCTAGAGAACAGTTCAGTTTTGAAATAGAAAAGGGAGATGTTAATTGTTATTGTGTAATTTTCTATAGTTTTTGAAGTTATCAAAATAATACTTAAAATAATTTCAGAATGGGATAATTGATTATCTCTGCCAAAACCTAAACTTACAGAAATGTACCTACATGTAGTCCTCTAATGTCAATAGTATATCTCACTGGTGGCAAACCTATGGCACATGTGCCAGATGTGGCACTCAGAGCCCTCTTTGTGGGCATGCGCGCTGTCGCCCCAGCCTTGCCTCCCCCTGTGGCCCCCTCACCAGCAGCCCCCCTGGAGGAGAGTCATCCCTGAGCGCAGCCCACGCAGAGCAGCGCAGCCAAGCACATGGCAGTCGGGCAGCGGGGACAAGACTCCACCCTCGCGCCCTGTTGCACGCAGTTGATGCTGTGGGGTATGGGGAGAGGCCGTGGCCACCATGGCGCTGCTGGGCCACCTGGGCAATCTGTGGCAGGCCATGAAGGCAATGGCCCTGCGGGCGGGCGGGGTGGGGGCGGGCAGGGGGGCGGGGCGGACAGAGCAGGGCAAAGTGGGGGTAGGGCCGGTTTTTGGGCACCCGGTCTCTAAAAGGTTCACCATCACTGGTATATCTTGAAATGAAGACTTTTAAAATGTTTCATCCCTATGGGATTTAGTATTGTATTATCTAACTTACGGATAGTATGTATGCAATTTTGTGTGAATCAAAGATAACTAAATCTGTTTTGGAAGCAAAGTTTAAGTGAAACAATTCTAAAAATAATCCTCCAAAATAAACTCAGAATTATCTCTTTTTTTAAAAAAAATGGTAATTTGTTTGAAAGTATTTATACATCATATTAAGGAATAGTTTACTAAATAACACAGAGACATCTATTAGTTATTTAGAAATTTGAATGCTCCTGAAGGATCAACATTCCCTCCTGAAAAAAACCCTGCATATCTATACTTGCAATCTAGAATTTCTGTTCATACTATAGCTCCATAAATTTGATTGTTTCAATTGTAGGAATGTATTCACACATTGCTCTTAAATCATCATATGGTTTGTTTGACTTAACATGAAATATTAAGAAAAGATATGAATGTCTAAGCCCACAATTCCTTATTTTTAAATAAAAGTTTATTTAAAGAAATTAAATATGAAACATAATACGTTTTGTAATATTTTATATATAATATATATTTAATTTATTTAAAATTAATTCCAGTGGTGTTTTATGCTTTAAATTGTAAATGTTTTGATAAATAAAATCATTATAGAACTAAATAATGTTGGAGTTTTGTATCATTGAATCTGAATGTATTACATTGTTATAACCAACAGAGTCTCAGTTTATATCATTTTGCTAATCTGCTATAAACTCAGGTTCAAAAAGAGTGCTTCCCTCTGATTGGGGTGGAAAAAACTGAAGGCTCTTTAGTAGATGGAAACTGAGCAAAGAGAGAAACAACCTACAATTAAGAAGAAACTTCCTGACAGTAAGGACAATTAACTAGTGGAACAGCTTGCCGTCAGAACTTGTGGGTGCTTCATCACTGAAGGTTTTTAAGAAGAGACTGGACAGTCACTTGTCTGAAATGATATAGGTTCTCCTGCTTGAGCGGGGGGCTGGACTAGAAGACCTCCAAGGTCGCTTCCAGCTCTATTCTATTCCCCGTCTGCAATACAAGACAAAAGTCAACACCCCATGTGCTAGATTATGTACTTAATTTATTAAGAAAAAAGACAGTGTCCAGCAGATGGTGCCATTTAGACGTAACTACTCATTTTTAAGCCTAGCGTATGAGGATAGATCGGTGAGATGACAAGCTATAGACCAGTGGTTCTCAGCCTTTTTAATGCCGCGACCCCCAACCGGTCATAAGTCGAGGACTACTCAATTGGTGCAGCACCGTTTGCAGACTGGGGCTTTTGGCGGGCTCAGCAAGGCAGAGACAGCCTGGACAATTCTTATGGGCTCAGCAGGGCAGAGACAGCCTGGACAATTCTTATTGGCTTTTGAAAGCCAATAGAATTAGACTCTATTCAAGAGAGTCTATTCTATTGGCTTTCAAAAGCCAATAGAATAAAAGGAAGTAGCACAGCTAAGGAAAAGGAGGAAAAAAATGGCAGACTGCGTTGTTTGGCGACCCCCGTGAAATGGTCGTTCGACCCCAAATGGGGTCCAGACCCACAGGTTGAGAACCACTGCTATAGACAGTCTTTCAGGTTGTTCTTTAAAGAAGGTTCTAATGAGATATTTAAGTAGTTCTTGAACTCAACTCAGCAATCCACTGAAAATCCGTTGATTACCTTATTTCTTTCCTTCAGGCGAAGGATGTGGTCTTTTCCCCTGTCTCTCTTATTAATTTGGGAGGATTTTTCTCCAGCAGAAATGTCAGGATTACAAATGGGACTTTGCTTTGTCTGCTCACTAAAACTCCTTTGCATGCTGCTCTAAGTGTTTTCCAGTTTCTCTTTATACTTTGACATTTTGACTATTCTGATAAATCAGATAAAATCTGATTTTATTTTCTGATTTTCTACCTTCAAATGTTACATGCATCCTAAAGTAAATTTACTTACTCCATTCACATAACTCACTAGGCTAAAATTGGTTGCTTAGCTTGCTATTAAAAAATAAAACAGTATGAGTGAGTATATGCATACATCTCGGTTTGCAACTATTTCTACATAGCTGTTGGAGAACTGAGCTTTTAAGATGTTATCCTAAAGCTAAAAGAAAGGATAAATGATGACCCAAATCTTTAACAGAAGTTGGACATCAACCTGATAAGAATAGAAAGGAGAGGACAGATCACAAGCTAAATACAACCTATGGAAAACAAATTATCCTATAATTCTTGCGATGGGAATTTGAGGTTTAAAAAAATATTGATATCCTCCTCACTCAGTCAGCCAGCAATATGGAAAGTCAATGTCATCAAATAGAATGCATCTTCTAGGGTTTATATAGACATATCCATGCTATTTTCTTAGAAACAATATGGTCATGGTTCACTGCTACTTTCTCCTGAGAAGTTCTTTCAACTCTCCTGACAGATTGGTCAGTCCTGGATTTTCCTAGCAGGTCCTCCACCAACTTCTTCTGTCCCTGCTAATTTTTCTGAGACAAGCCATTTTGAGACATGTCATATGGGAGTGTGTGTGTGTGGGGGGGGTAGACTCTTCTGCTTGTGGGCAGCACCAGGATAAAAAAGGGAGGACCACTTTACTTGAAGCATAAATTATAATTTAGTTTTCAACTAATTGACTTGATACCGTTTACTGATCGATCTCTATGGCTTTAGGAACGGTCTTCTGTCACATTCTTCGATGGAGCCGTGGAAGGAGCCCTGCTATGGCTGGCTGTACTCTGGCAACTTGATTCCTACTTTAGAATATTTAACTGTACATGCCACCTCTGCAGAAGTTCCCTGAGTGACAACTCTATTTTTGGAT